AGTGTTGTAATAATGCTTTATTGACAATTAAAAAATGTCTTCTAGGTATTGAATTATTATTATTTCTAGATTTTGTTGACATACAGCAGCTTTTGTACATTTAATACAAAAGTAATGTAGGCAGACACTATTACGATATGTATTTTTAATAGAACATTAATACTGAGGAACAGTTTGTGATCTGGAAATGCTTACCCCCGAACGGAAGTGACGTATCAAAAGGATCGTCTTATTACGTAGTGGTATATTGATGAGTGAAATATATTATCTAATTCTCTTTTAATGAAAATTGTTTAAATTTTACAACTGGAATAAATAATTATGTTGGTTACATTTTGGGACTCCATTACATTTTTGATTGATATTGTCTTTCAAAGCACCCAGAAGATCTCAAAATAAAACATCCACAAAGTAACAAGCGCCTAAAATTTAAGTTTTGTGTGTGTGTTTATCCACAGAAATAGTAGTTCACAAGGTTTTGTATAAATGTGCATCGTTTAGTTATTTAAATCGATAAAACATAGAGTGGTACCATCTTAATTTTTTAGAAGTGTGAAACATGTTACCCAGTCCTAAGTGTTCGGAAATTAATTTGTAAATTAAAAGAGATTTTGGATTTTATCCACAAAATCTTGTATTGGTTCATTCACCTAAAGAAGTGGCAGAAATAGAAATATAGAACGTAAGGCGTAAGCAGAAGAGAACAGGTCAAAAGGAAACTATAAAAGAACAATCGGAAGATCATGGTATAATTTATGATAAAATATATGACATGGAGGAGAATGTTAAACGATCACATTTATAAAGAACAATCGCGATATTACACTATAAATAATGAACTAAGGTTCAGGAGTTTATACTAAAAGTAATAAATGACACTCTCTTTGACATTAACGTTGTGGTAATTTATCTACTACACCTTCATACAAGTAAACATCAATTTCTAGATAACCAGGGACACTGAAAAAAAAATTGTATTTCATCAGTTGCTTACTTTAAGTCGACGTTTATTCCTGGAATCGTTCGTTGCTATTGTGATTGATACCCATGTTATTTATCGCCGTCGCATACCCAAAATGAGGAATTGTGGTTTCTGTGTATGGGTATTAATCCAGTTCCTTTGTTCCAGGATATTAATTAACCTTGACAATGTCAACATTAGACTATGAGCCTTTAATGACAGGAAAGTTGAGTAGCAAAAGATAAAAAAAGAGCTACTCATAAATCAACTTCCTCTAGGGTAAATAGTGTATAATCTGGATGACAAGTAATATCACACTCCCGTATTTGTTACGATTCTGTTTAAACATTGCGTTAATTTTTTTTATAATATATTAAAGCTCCTGATTTTGTGACTTTCTAAAGTGTAGATGTACGTATCATGTTTTTGAACAACTAGCTATTTTTAGAATACGACGAGTTTAGTCGGTACTTAATTTCTATTAGATTTGAGATCCGTTATCTGAATTTTTATCTGTAGGCCGAAACAATATGACTTGTTACGCCTGTCATCAGTCAACAATGATTCTGGATCTTTTTTTCCTTGTAATTTTTTCTTTTTAACTTCAATTTTCAGTACGAATGAGAGGGGTGTAACACCACAAAGAAGATAAGTCGATGGAGTTTTTGTTAATTCTCTTGGACTTTGTTAAGCAAAGAAAAACAAACACGCGTATCTAAGCAGCACTGTAAGAATAAATTTTAGTTTGTACTCTCCTGTTGAAAAGAGTGACATGACGTAAAAAACTATAACGTTATCGGATTTATGATTGTATAGCTATATCTGTTTATAAACTTCCCTATCAAAGAGTCTTAAATTCGTTTCATGATGACAGTTGACATTACTTTGTTTGCAAATAGGTTCGGGAAACTTCTTTGTTTCAGCGCAAAGCTGTAGGGATCGAACGACGAAATCTAGCTTACCGTTGAGTCAGTGGGAAACAAGAAGTCCGTGAATATAAAGCACCAAGGATTCGGAACACTGAAATATGTATATTATATTTCATTAATTTAACAAATTCGTGTTAATATTTCCCTTATCAACGTTAAAACTGCTACTGGTGAACTTTAGTTTAATTAAGTTTACGATAAAGTGTTTTTTAAAGAAATTCTAATAAAAACAATATCTCTCACCAAAACTAGTAAAAAAAAAAGAGAACTAAAATATTCACCATTTCAGGTTTTCACGTAAAGTGTGAGGACAATTAAACTGTAATAATCATCATATAGTTAGGTTGTCGTAGGGTTCTCGTGTAATATTTATATTATGAAAATATAATAATGAGCACTCATTGGAGCCTTAGTCCCGCGGTGGTCAGCTTTAAGTGGACACAGCAGAGAGCCGATGTGGCTTTACGAAAACAAAATGCATATACATACTGGAGCCTTACCAGTGGGGGATGGGCTGGAGCCATAAATGTTTGAAATTTGTGCCCAAAATATATATACTAGTAAAAGTCGTATTGAGATAGGTGAATACATATCTATAATACGAATTACTTTAAAACAGTGAGAAATGCGTGTTTTGTTTTGTTTTATTCCTTGATTTGTCATTATAATATAAAAGTACATGAGAAACATTTAATATTGTTACGACATCGGGGTCACGTGACGCTAGTAACACGTCATTGACTTCTAGAAATATCCTGTTCCTTCATGAATGCCCTAGCGTTTACTAGATACAGTATGTGTTAGTCTTGTATATATATAAGATGGTCACAACGTGACGGAACAGTGTGTAATTGAACTGAATATTGTTGAAGTCGAGCACGTGAGATGTTCGTTGAGAATTATAGCGTTTGTTATAGCGCGACTGTTGAAATTAAGTGTATCGCAAAGTTATATTGAGAAAGAATAAACCAGTTTTATTTAAGAAAGGACTTGTGTCGCTAAAGTTTCGTCGGAACGAATTTACGGCTAATTAACTAACGAACGGAGGTGTAACAATATTTAGGAATTTATGGATTGAACACTGACCATTTAAAAAAAATCCTAGTTGCACGCCTGCATATAATGATTTCGTTTTAAGGTCACAAACTGATGTTTATGACACCAATAAGTTAGAAATTCATATTCAGAAATATCGCCGAGAAAGTTTTGATACAGGTATTTTCAGCCATAGATAAAATGGCCGGTCAGAGACCACTAAGTCGTAGTTTCCCCTACTCTGATCATAGGGAGAGTAACTTGTCATCAACTAAATTGCTCAAAAAGTAGAACTATTTAAAATCATAAATAATATTCAACGTTTAACTGGTACACAATGAAAAACATTTTATTTAGGCCTATCTATGGCCTTCAAAAAGCTGACGAGTCTACATGTTTCGACGTTACAACGTCATCTTCAGTTATCATATATGATTTTAACTTTATACACAAGTGCCAAAATACTATAATTAGAACTACTTAGTTAATAACCTTTTAAGCAACTGAGTCTTATAATTTAATACTTAGTTATTTTTAAAAGTTGAATAGTTGCGTTTACAAGATACATACGTGCTTTAGCCAACTATCCAACATCATACAGAAGAAAAGTTACTTTGATTTTCAATAATAAACACTAGCCTTTTTAACTAAATGTAATGGAAGTAGCACGACCAGAGAATCGTGATAACAAAATTCACCGCCTTGTGAAACCTGTAATAATTTTGTAAAACCACAATACTACTAATAACCCGGCCGGGAGCTGTTTAATCAGATCAGAATTAGCTGTGGGTGCTTAAACTAGCTGCCTTTTTAATAGTCTATCAGCTAAAAATTAGAGACACCCATATGCTACGCTGATAGCTCTAAATTACGTAGTTTTGCAAGAAATTCTAAAATAAAAACCTGCCTTATAAACGAAACAGTTTTTATCTTTAATATTAAAATTTACTGAGGTTAAATTTGTCCTGCCAAGCAACGCTATATGTTCTTGTCATCGAACTTGGTCACAAGAGTTATTTTTGCTTAATTTCGAAAATTTAAAATCAAAGGAACTTGTTTACAGCCAATAACACGTGGTTATCACACACACAAAAAAGCTTTCTAACTTAAACACTAGATGTAGTTACTAGAGCCGTATTTCAAAATTAAACATTGATATTCACCTTTGGCGCGCCATTTTGTCCCCCGGTGGGACAGCGGTAAGTCTTCGGACTTACAACTCTAGAACCAGAAGTTTGATTCCCCTCGTTGGATACAGAAGATAGCCCGGTGTGACTTTGCTATAAAAAAAAAATGCACGCCCTATTCCTAAAATCAACTTCTGTGATCGTTGACTTTCGGGGCTCACCATGGCCAGGTGGCTAGGGCACTCGACTCGCAATCTGAGGGTCGCTGGTTACTAAACATGCTCGCACCTTCAGCTGTGAGGAAGTTATAATGGGACTGTCAATTCCAATTATTCGTTGGTAAAAGAATAGCCCAAGAGTTGTAAGTGGGTGGTGATGACTAGCTGCCTTCCCTCTAGTCTTACACTGCTAAATTAGGGACGGCTAGCGCAGATAGCCCTCGTGCAGCTTTGCGCGAAATTAAAACAAACAAACAAGTTGACTTTCGGTGTTACTTCAACGAACCGAATAAGCGTTGAGTTTTAAACTTACAGTTTACTGTAAATGTGAATGAGACAACTTTATTATTTTAAAATAAAATCACTGTGAAAACACAACGTTTAAATAGAAAGAAATTTATTGTATCCATCACCGTTTCGAGCAACCATTCTTTCTTAGCCTTAATTAATATGAAAATAAAACTAAACCGGAGAAGAAGGAGTTGCAAGAAAAGTTACTACATAAAATAAAGTTGTTTCTATTTCAGTTTTGTGTCTTTATAGTGATTTTATTTTATTGTATTAACTCCCAACGTTGTGCGAATTCCAACTCTTCTGAAAATGTTTGATTTTGCCTGACGCCATGGTAGTTCCATCGCTGATTTATGTCATTAAATTTTGGAATGTGCCCCTAGCAAGTACTGTGACGTAAGTACATGTGTGTTATCTTCGTTTCGTTTTACGTAATTGTTGTTTATAGATATTATAAAGCTTAAAAGTTAAACTTAAAGAGGAAGAGGTGACTGGAAAAGTAATTGTAAAATACTTAAAAAAGAAGTAAAAATGGAAGTCTTACAACAAAAAAGATTTGATAAGATTCGTGAAAATGCTGCATCCATATTGTATTGTACTGAACAAAAAATTAACCAACTTAAAGAATGTGACATAAGCGAAGTTGAACAACAGATTACAATGAGTAAGTCCAAATAATATATTAAAAAATAAAAGCCCAGTACTATAGAGTAGGTGTATGATTATTATGCCTACAGTTTGAATGGCCTATATAAAACTGGGTGTAGTTTTTACAGCAGATTAATTCCAAGAAATATTATTACCAATGAGACGAAAATAGGAATGGTTTCAGAATTTGAAAATTTGTGGCTGGCCATATGATTTTTTTTTCTCGACTTACACTCACAGGGTGAAATGCGTCAAAATCTAACTGTATTAATTTTTTTACCTATGCGATTGTTTTGCATTAACTTATCCACTTTCTAGAGCTGGAATTCCCGTGCACCAAATGGAAGTTATGTAAATTCATGATTAATATAAGGTTACTTTAGGACGTGAAAAGTTGCTTCTCTTATATGTAATTGTAAAAAAACGCATAACTGCCCAAAAAAATTGCAAAACAAAATGTGAAACCGCATATTTGCATATATCTCCACATGGACCAAACAAACCTTCATGCTAAATTTGGTGAAGATCCATCAACGGGGAGTGAAGTAGTGGTAAAAAACGTCCATAAGAACCACAAAATGCAAAACTGAAAATTTGTATGTATCTCCCCATGGACCTTCTTACCAAATTTGGTTAAGATCCATCCACACCCTTTGAAGAAGTTACATGAACATACATACAACATACAGTATTATTATATTCATATAGATAAACACTGCCATTCCTGAAGTATTCTTAGTGGGGTGGGATGACAGAGGTGTTTCAAATTAATGGACCATTGATATAAAGTTGTTCTGTATTGTATATTGTGAATTTTAGACAGGTATGAGTTTTATAATTAATTATAATTTATATATCAATATATTAACATACAGTGATACAGTATATAATGACATTCTTTTAAGGTGCTGTATTGTTGCTTAAGTTTCTTAGTGCAAAGTGTTTTATGTAGATTTAGTTATGTAAAATTTCGTGTTTAGATATTTATAAGGAACATTTTCATGGGCCAAGTGATGATTAGGTAATGGTAATGAAAAACCGAGAATATTTTACAGACATGAAAACAGTCTTTAAGTTATGAACTTTTAGACCTACTTCTGATTTTTATATTTTATTTTTTAGACAAGGAATCTTTCACACAAATACTGGCTAACTTTTCGGAAAAAAATGTCCCAGCAGCTGCTCGACTGACTGATAAGCTTCTGGAGAAGGAAAATGATGAAATCATGGTGAGAATAGTTCGCAACAATAGTAACTGTGCTAAACCCAATTGACTGTAATATGATAAATGATGATTTTTTTTTCGCAATGTGTATGTATGTATTAGATATACTGAAACACAGAGAAGGTTAGAAAAGAATTGAGTGTATTCAAAATTTAATTAATTATTCACATGCATTCATTTATATCTGACAATAGGTTTAGACTTACTGTAACTACCCTGCAATCAATGCATCTTCCCATGTAAGTTTTTTTTTTTTACACATTTTATGGGTATTTTTATACATTGAAGCTTTATTGTCTTTGGTAACTCATTTCATATTTTAAAGTAATTTTGGAAGTGATGCATTATTAAGTATCACCAGAGAAACTTTACTAAAGATTTGAAGTACCACATTCAAGAATTTGCTCCAAAACAACAAAAATATTTGATAAATTTAGCAAATAACAGCAGTTTATATTCTTTTGTTTTCTGTATATCAATAGCGTCTCTACCTTATCCATAATCGTCAGATACTAGCCATGAATTTTGAAGGTGTTGAAGTAGCTCGAGAATTTGCTGAAAAAGAGTACAAGGTAGCTAAGGAGATGTATAAGTCACTGAAGAAAGATGAAGATGTTGTTTATGTTCCATTATTTGAAGCCTGTATGGGAGCTTGGTCAGTTTGTCGATGGGATGAAGATTTCAAACAAGCAGAGGTAAAACGATTTACAAATTTTAAATTTTTCATAGGAGTATATGAATTAATGTTTTTCATACAAATTGAATGAAAAATATAAGTAGACCTAGAGAATGTAAGTATATTTTTTATCACTGGTAACTGTTCGTGGGTAGATTGTGAATTTTTTGACCATATGTGATTGTGAAATTATAATTTGTATGATTATGTAGAAAGCTACAAATGTAATGGAGAATGTTTTATTTAAATATTCAAACACACAATATTTGTTTACTTTCTTAGGACTACTTGCTGGAAGGTAAAGCAATTGCAGAAAATGATGGTAACAGGGACCGTCAGCAATTGGCTCAGATGTTATATCTTGGTTGGAAACGATTACAAAACTCACAAGACATAGAACTGGAGAAGATAAGCATTGTGGCTGGCCAGACGTACGATCTTAAAGATGTTGACTATACAAAACATCAGTTTCTGGGAAATTTCTATGCGTATGTTGTAGTTTTCTTTTACTGATTTTTTTCTTTGATGAATCTTTCTATACAGCTGCTCAAGTTTGAGAATTTCTCCAAAATCTCTATCGTGTTTCTTATTAGTGTGAGCCATTAGCAACCTCAATATATATATATATATAAGTGTATATAAAGGTCAGTTCAGAGTTTTTTACCCCAGCTCAGCTTTTCAATTTTTTCATACAGTTTTAAAAAATACTTGTATATGTGGGAAAAACTGGTTGTGTATATATTGGGTATTATTGTTATAGATCGTATGAAAACTTCTAATATATGCTAGTTTTGTTTCTTTTCTTTTTACCAGATGTTTTTAAATACTATTAGTAGTGAGCTTTTGTTTTGGATCAAGAGGTAGACATTCAAACGTCCAAAACTCATTAATCACAGAATTACCAATGGCAAGTGGTATAACTAGGTCTCAAGGGGTTACAGGCAAAGTGTTGCCCCCCCCATGTTAAATCCTTTTTCAATGTCTTACAAATTATTTTTTTCCTTAATTTCAGATGCCAATTTTGAGAGGCTGTGGGGCAACTACCACACCTGTTGCTACTCTATTGCTGAAGGGGTTGGTTCAAGTAAAAGGGTTTTTAAACACATGGTTTAAAACTTTTTATGCAACAAAATGCTTGTGGGTCATGATTTTCATGATTTTGTTGGTTGCAGGGTCCTTAATAACTTACATGTCACAGAAAAAGATTAAACAAAAATATCATCAACATGGAAATTAAACCATGGTGGTTTTCCAAGTATTATACATAAAATATGAAGCAATTTATTTTGTAAATTCTTTACACTGAATGTTGTAATGCACAAGAATGTAATATTATTAAGTATGATGCAATATGTGGTAATTTTAGGGTTAAGAAAACAGGCTTTCCAAAACTAATTAGTTTATATTCTTTTCAGACTGCTTAACTTGTGTACAAAGATGTGTGTAGGGTGTATTTTTTGCTATTCTTTTAAACCTTAACATTATCAGTAACATGTTTTATCTTTATTAGATGACAAAAAGTGACTCAAGGACTGGCATTTGAATCCAGGACTTCAGGATAATAGGGCCAGTGTTCTATCACTGAATTATCCAAGAGTACAAGCCATCACTGATAGTGTTCATTTATAAAGCGTCTTATTATGTGTATGATCACCATACTATGTTATATTAGGTATGCAGACCAATTCAGAAGAAGTCTATTACAGACTCACTTTTATTTCTAAATTTTGTTAAGAAACAGCAAAAAGTGATATTTAGCATTAACTTTAAAGGGATTGGAATTTGAACCCAGGACTTCAGGTTAACAGGACCAGTGCTCTACCACTAAGCTATTCAAGAGTACAAGTCATCTCTACCAATCTTTACGTATAAAGCATCTTACTGTGAGTATGATCCACAGAATTTAAAAATAAATGTAACTGTCAATAGACTTCTTTTAATTTGGTCTGTGTACCTGTCATAACATTTTTTGGCTTTTTTTTACTTAAAAGTTAATGTTTAAACCATCCAAGCAAACCATAATTTCTAAAGTCATTTTGCATCATCTGTTACTCCAGTGCCTTTTATGCCAGTGATATTTATGCCATTTTTTAAGTTTAGTTAATTAATATATTTTTTAAGAAACTAGTAAGGTGGTTTAATTATAACCCAAATGTTTGTAGTTCCTACTGTGAACTGGGACTTAGTAAAGAGCATTTCCAACAGACTGAGAGCATTGATGAATCACTGAAGAAAAGTGGTTTTCTTAACATGATTTATAACTTGGAAGGCAGAAGTTATGAAGTTCAGAATCACTGCATAGTAATGTTATCACAGGCTTTCGAAAAAGGTAGGAGAAAAATTTCATAAAGAGGGGTTCAATAAAAATAATTTCCATAACTTTAATAATGAAAGAAGGTAAAGCCTCTTAGAGTGTTATTGTTGGGAATTAGATTATTTTAATCTTGTGTAATCAAATCAAAATGTTATGAAATTATGAATTATATAATCAATAATTTTTATTACTAGATCAATTTGTTTATTTGTTTTTAAGCACAGAGCTACACAATAGGCTATCTATATTGTGCCCACCATGGGTATTGCAACCTAGCTTGTAGCATTATAAGCCTTCAGACTTACTGCTGAGCCTTTTTTTTTTTGAGAGGGGATGTAAAGAGTAGCGCCCAGGTGGGCTTAATTGTTGGAGTTTCAATT